GGCAGATGAGAGCACCCTGCTGGGCACCCGAGGGTCCTGAGGACGTCCTGGCCTGGCCGCCCCTGACCCTGCTCACCCGCAGCCTCCGTGTGCACCTGTCCCCAGGCGCGAGAGAGGCCCTGAGCTGGGGACCCGCCAGGGGTGTCCGGGCAGCCGGGCACGCAGGGAGCGGTGTGACCTGTGGCCTATCTCGGGGTCAACTTCCGCCTCCTGGGCTCCGGCCACCTGTGACCCTGCTCAGGCCTAACTGCTCTCACCCTCCCAGCACCTCTCCAGGCTCCAGGGGGACGCATGCCCCCCAGGGCCTTAGGGTCCCCCCCAAAGATGTGCTACCAGTGCCCTAACCCGCCCGAGGCTCCTTCCCTGACCAGCAAGCCACCGCTTCCAGCTGCACCTCCAGGCTAGTGGGGGAGCAAGGGTCCCTGACCTCCAGGCTAGTGGGGGCAGGGGTCTCTAACCTCCAGGCTAGTGGGGGGCAGGGTCCCCGACCTCCAGGCTAGTGGGGAGCAAGGTCCCCGACCTCCAGGCTAGTGGGGGGGCAGGGGTCCCCGACCTTCAGGCTAGTGGGGAGCAAGGTCCCCGACCTCCAGGCTAGTGGGGGGGCAGGGTCCCCGACCTCCAGGCTAGTGGGGGGCAGGGGTCCCCGACCTTCAGGCTATTGGGGGTCAGGGGTCCCCAACCTCCAGGCTAGTGGGGGGCAGGGGTCTCTAACCTCCAGGCTAGTGGGGAGCAGGGGTCCCTGATCTCCAGGCTAGTGGGGGGCAGGGTCCCCAACCTCCAGGCTAGTGGGGGGCAGGGATCCCCAACCTCCAGGCTAGTGGGGGGGCAGGGTCCCCGACCTCCAGGCTAGTGGGGGGCAGGGGTCCCCGACCTCTAGGCTAGTGGGGGGGCAGGGTCCCCGACCTCCAGGCTTTGGTCTGGACAGAGAAGAAGCATCCAGACGGGCCAGGGCTCCCCACGCACCTTCCAAGTCCCCGTCCCGGGTCTTGGCTGCCAGCTCGGAGGACGACAGGGTCTCCTGGCACAGGGCGCAGTCCTCCAGGGCCGCGCCCCGCAGGGTCTGGGCGACTGGAAGAGAAGGGTGCCCACTGGGTCCACGCCCCATCACCGTCCCCGGCCGGGCACCGTGGAGAGGCCGTCTCTGCCTAGGGCTGGGATGCGGGCTTCTGGGTTCCCCCGCCCCTGGGCGCTGGACACCCCAGTCAGCAGGCGGCAGAGCCTGTCCTGGGGGGCACTCACCCTTCCGGAACTTGTCCTTGTCGTCCATCTCCGGCTTGGTGGCCATGACCTCGAAGAGGGTCTTGAGAATACTTCTCAGGTCGCTGGCGTAGTTGGTCTGCAGCTGGTCAGCCACCCCTGGGGAGGAGGGGGACGGGGAGGCAGTGGGCTGGCCGCCTGGGGACCGTGTGCCTGCAGCTGGTCAGGGCGAAGCAGCCACCAGCCTGGATGCATCTTTGGCGGAGGCAGGAGCTGGGTATGTCTCCTCCTTCGGGCCACCACCGCCACCGCTGCGCAGTCCTGGCCCCTCACTGCGGGGATCTCAGAGCCCGCACCGTGCCCACCCTGCCAGCACCGCTC